GCCTAACTCACAAGCTTCACATAGAGAAAAAGACAGATTTATCATGGGAATGTCGGATTAATATAAGAATTTTTTCTTTTTTAAGTTGCTTAGCAATAGGAAAGGGTTCTTAGAGTCCTCCCTGCGAATAATTTCAAGACTTCGAATCCTGGAGTCTGATGGTTGAAAATGAAAATGGTGTTGAGGGGTGTGGGAGCTTAAAAAAAAAAAGAAATTGATGTACCAAAGATCTTTTCAAAAGTTAATTTCGATGCTTTGGATTTAAAAGTCTTGGAAAGGCACAACTTGCTTTTGAAAAAGTTCCTCCAGGAGTCATTGAAACTAATTTTTCAAAGTTAGAAGGAATTTAAAAGCGTATCAGATGCAAATGACAACTTCTCTACAGAATTTTCCAATCAGACAAAAACTAGAATCAACTTTTATTAGTTTCAAGTTTCAACACGAACTGATTCTTAGATAACATGACTCAAGTCCTATAGTAGACTATGTCAACAACTTCGCATAGAACATTTATAGGGGCAATTACATTATGCTTATTCCGGGAATGATGCCAACTCTGCTTTTAGAAAACTTTTTCTTTTCTATAGTATGCCTTTATTCTTATTAGAACTTGTCTTTTATGGAAATAGTTCTTGAACTGCTTAAAATCATCCAAGCATCCAATACAGTGCCAAAATTATTTTGGCTTAAAATATCAGGGCTTAAATCTGTTAAAAAGAATTGTGGATACATGAATTATTGAAATTGATGCTTATTGAAAGTTGTACTACATAATTATATTATAACTAAAAAGTGCCTAAGTGGTATTGAGAGGACAAATTGCAATGTCACTTCCCTTAAAAGTGATGGAATAGACAGTTGCGACACTTATCAGCCCACTAAGAAATACATTGTTGACCATACAAAAAAAAAAAAAAAGAGTTGGTCATGGATTCTCATGAAACAAAAAGAGTACCAACAGACGTTGATGCAAGTGAGCATCCCTTAACCATGAGATCTTGAGTTCGAAATCTATGGAAATGGATTGTAAATTATTTGAAATATTTTTACTGTAGCATTTTTTGTGATGTGATGTATGTGAGATAAAAAAGTAATTGAAAAGATAAAAAGATGTATTGAAAATTGTAATGGTGATGTAAGCAAATATATTTGGACAAATAATCTCCTGTCCAAACACACGAACGTTGGGAGAGCTTCCCTTGCAAGGGGCCCAACCCGACTCAAACAAGATAAGTCGCAGACCGTAAAACGGATGCCGATACCTGTGGGTTATACCTTAAAAAAAAATGAAACAAAAAGAATAGAAAAAATATCGTAACATATGTAACGAATTTGTCTTTTACATTCCCAAACTACAGGAACTAGACCAAAGAAAATCTTGTACAAGCAAAATATCAGGGTGGTTTTGTTTATATATGCAACAACATTTTCTGAAATTCAAACACCACAAGGTTCAAAACCAAATCATCATTTCCTGGTCCAAATAAAAATACCTCTTCCTCTGAACAGCAACTAATTGAAGCAAAACTTTCTCTAGATACTAAACATTTTTCCTTTCTGCATGGAAAGTTTAATGCATTTTCTCATCCTGATTTGTGTGCTAACCAACTCTCATTCGGAAATTGCTGCAAATGAATTCCAAGAGCAGAGCAATTTAGAGACTTATATCGTCCACGTTGAGTTACCTGATCCAGATGATGCTGAATATGGCACGAATGCCATAACAGGTGAAGATCTTGAAAGTTTGTACAACTCTTTTCTGCCAACAACTGCTACTACTGCTGCAATCTCAAATGCAACACTTCCACATATAGTTTACTCCTATCACAATGTTTTCAAAGGCTTTGCTGCGAAATTGTCAGCTGAGGACGTGAAAGAAATAGAAAAGAAACCTGGTTTCGTATCAGCACGGCAGCAAAAGCTACTATCATTATGTACAACCCATACTCCTAGCTTCTTGGGGTTGCATCAAAACTTGGGTTTATGGAAGGAATCAAATTGTGGTAAAGGTGTTATCATTGGAATCTTGGACACTGGGATAGTGCCAGACCATCCATCATTTAGTGATGAAGGAATGCCTGCACCACCTGCTAAATGGAAGGGGAGATGCGAATTCAATTCGTCAGTTTGCAACAACAAACTGATAGGAGCAAGATATTTCCACGATGGAAATGGTTCTCCATTGGATGAGACTGGCCATGGTACTCACACAGCAAGCATAGCTGCTGGAAACTACGTCCAAGGTGCAAATGTATTTGGAAATGCTAATGGAACTGCAGTTGGTATTGCCCCTCTTGCTCACTTGGCAATGTATAAAGTATGTACAGCAATTGGTTGTTTTGAGAGCGATATTCTAGCTGCAATGGATGCAGCTATTGAGGATGGGGTTGACATTATTTCTGCCTCCCTTGTAGGAGGAGATTATCAATTTTATGCAAATAGCTTATTGCTAGGTGCATATAGCGCAACGGAGAGAGGAATTTTTGTCAGCTGCTCAGCAGGAAATGACGGTCCTTCTAAGAGCTCTTTATCCAATGAAGCCCCATGGGTTCTAACTGTTGGTGCAAGCACCATTGACAGAAACATAAGGGCAACTGCCGTGCTTGGTAACAAGGAGGAATTTCAAGGCGAGACAATAAATCAGCTAAAGGATTTTCCACCAACTTTATTTCCCCTATTCTACCCAGGCAAGAACCAGGACGATATTAAGTCTAAATATTGTGCCTCAAAATCCCTAAATAACACCGAAGTCCGAGGAAAGATTGTGGTCTGCATTGATGGTGGTACGATATCAGGAATAGAAAAGGGAGAAAACATCAAGGCTGGTGGTGGTGTTGGCATGATCCTCATTAACCATAAGAATGATGGTTATACCACATTTGCTGATGCTCATGTTCTTCCAGCAACCGATTTAAGTTACGCTGATGGATTGAAGGTTATTGCCTATATAAACTCCACAGAATCACCAATGGCAGCAATCTCGTTCAAGGGGACTGTCTTTGGAGACAATCACGCTCCAATGGTTGCTTCATTCTCTTCTCGAGGCCCCAGCCGAGCGAGCCCTGGTATTCTGAAGCCAGACATAATTGGCCCTGGTGTAAACATTCTTGCTGCCTGGCGTCACTCCATAGAAAACAACACTAACACAAAATTCAATGTACTCTCTGGCACTTCAATGTCTTGCCCTCACCTCAGCGGCGTTGCTGCACTGCTCAAAAGTGTTCATCCTAATTGGTCTCCAGCTGCTATTAAGTCTGCAATCTTGACCACTGCAGATCTAGTGAACTGTGCAAAAAACCCCATTGAGGATCAGAGGCACCATCCCGCAAATATTTTTGCCACTGGTTGGGGCCATGTTAACCCATCTAAAGCAACCAATCCGGGTCTTATTTATGACATTGACCCGAAAGATTACATACCTTACTTGTGTGGATTGAACTACACCAACCGGGAGATTGGTATACTCTTAAAACGTAAGGTAAACTGTGCAGTAGAGTTGCGAATGCCAGAAGCGCAACTAAACTACCCTTCATTTTCAATCATTTTTGGATCACCCGTTCAAAGGTACACAAGGACGGTAACTAACGTTGATGAAGCTAATTCAACTTACACTGTTAAAATTATACCACCAGCAGGTGTCAATCTGACAGTCGAACCTACTACTCTCGGTTTCTCACAGGCAAACCAGAAGTTGACATATGAAGTCACATTTACCCTAGTAGCATCACCGGCTAAAAGTAGAGTGTCTCAAGGATCTCTATCATGGACTTCAACAAAGTTCTCAGTCAGAAGCCCCATTGTAGCAACTATCAATGGAAAGTAGGGGCTTTAATAGAGATCTCTTCTTCTTCTTTTTTGGCTGTTCACAAGTAACTTGCAGTAAACAAAAATTTTCAGGAATACAAAATATTGTGTTTCATATACAGTAACAACATCAATTTGTAAAAAATGTATATCAACTACAACTTATCCTAAGATTTCTTATACACTGGTTATGTTAAAAAGTTAAATGTGAGACCTGGGTTGCTTCTTGCATTAATTTGTTGAAGCACAAATTAATGGCCAGAAGGGATGGTTACCACCCTAACCAAACCAAACTGATCAACACAAGTTGTTGACAGTATGTAAATGCTTTGTTCAAGCAGTACTTGTGATTGCTTAGTTGCCTAAATTCAACTTACAGAAAGAGGCTAAGCAAATTTATTGCCTCAACTTACAGAAATGATCTCCTATTCCACGCACCCAAAGGAAACAAGAACAACCATCATAATTTATCACTACATTGTATTTGTTCATTCCTAGCTTTGACATTACACTATCTTTTCTAAACCAGACTGATATCAAACAATTCCATCATTTCCAGATTCAGATACAGCCAAAAAATTATAACGAAAGATAATGAAGTACAGCATCCATTAGCACAAACAATGACAATTAGAACCATAAAAGCTATAACATCAAGCACCCTGAAATAGGAGACCATAGAAAGCATATAAATGGAGAAGAAAGAAGAGGAGCAAAAGAAGTCCAAAGCATGCTTACAGCAAGACAGCTAAATCCCACATGGCGGACAAAGTATCTAGTTTTTATGTTAGTTGAATCCATCAAGTGACTTGATGCTTCCCACATAGTGCTGCTATCTTGAATTTAAGCTAAAGTAGCAATTGATAAAAATATTGCATCAAATCATGCAGACCATAGAGCAAGACATAGAGGTCTGCAGAAGTGTATTCCTCCGAGCACATGTTGCCTTCAATATTGTCATGTTGTACTGACCAAAAAGAAAGGATGGAAAAGAGTGATGTAGCAGTGAAGAAGTATCTGTGAAACTGCCATTTTTCAAAGATTGATCCCAATACCCAAAATAAAGGATGAGACACGTCTGACACAAAGATGAAAAGCTAACACCAATTAGGTAAATCACATGTTCAAGAAACCGAAGCTAACTATGAAGTTTTGCTCTTTTTTTTTTATCTTAAATGACAAACTACAAAAAAAAAAAAAAAAAAAAAAAAAAAAAAAAAGAGTTCAAAATCCAACTATAACTTTGCCTTTGACAGACATCATCAGATTCATAAACTTTCAAAGATGAACAAAAATGCCAGTTTCATTCTCACTTCACTCCATAACAACTTTTGCCCCAACAGCTTTCATCTTCTCGATTATCTGCTCTCCTTCTTCCTTTGACACTCCTTTTTTAAACACTGCAGGCGTCTTCTCCACTAAATCCTTTGCTTCTTTAAGTCCCAAGTCAGTGAAACTCCGAACCTCCTTAATGACCTTGATCTTTGAAGCTGCATCATAGGACTCCAGCTTTAGTTCAAAAACAGTCTTCTCTACTTTCTTCTCTTCCTTGGCAACTGTTGCTGGTCCCTTCATTGACACTGCACCCATACCAACGTCTCCAGGTTTCATGACCCCCACAACTGGAGGCTCCTTCATACCCATCTTTTTCATCATTATTGAACCAAGCTCTGCAACTTCAACCAAGGTAAGCGACGATATTTCATCAACTAGTCTCCATACCCTCTCTGTTGGAGGACTACGATGTTCCGTAGGATCAAATGTAGCAGGATCATAATCAGCCGGAAGCCTTCTTTGGTCGACTTCTATTTCCTCCACACCTTCTTCGTCTTCTTTCAATGCAGGCTGAGCAAACCCGCGAGCCATCCCAACCGAGTTAACTAATTTATGCACAGGACAGAAAAAGGGCTTCCTAAAAAGTTCATAAGGCAACTGATGCCTTAACCGCGAGAACAAACTCATTTTGTAATTCAGTAGTATCCGCTTTTACAGGATTGACTTAGAAACTACCCATTTGATTCTCCAAGACCCATAAATCAACAGCCTGTGCATTCAACTTTAAATCTTTATCAATCAATCAAATAGGCATTTAATCAAACACATAGATCACAAAAAATATGAGCTTGGAAAAGCACGCAAGCATTACAGTTTTAGAAAAGGATTATGACAAATTCGTATCTGAAGGCCTGAAATTTAAAAAATAAATGTGTTTGGATAGAGTATTATTTGAAATATTATTTGAAATAATTACTGTAATATTTTTTGTAATGTGATGTACATGAGATAAAAAGTAATTAAAAATATAAAAAGATGAATAGGAAAATGTATTTATGATGCAAGCGAAATATTATTTAGAATAATATGAATATCTAAACACATGTATATAAATGCATATCCACGAATTCCACCGAGAAGAATATACAAGCATTGCAAATAAAATGCGAAAAACCTTGTCTACACTAAACTGTGAAAGATATAAACTGCTTACCACTAGGTGGGAAAAGCCACCTCGGTAGTGGTCGGTGGTGCAGAGGAGAAGGGGCAGCGGCGGCGTGGCGGAGAGAGATGGTTGTTTGGGTGGTGGAGAGTAGAAATGGTGGCGTTTGATACTGATACCGCGCTAGCAGAATTGGGACTGAGTTCTGTTTGCTTAGAGGTTTAGAGCCGGGTATACTTGGTGATCAGTGAAGGCTTCGGGTCAAAAGTGAGTGAGTGTTTGAATTTGCAAGTTCAGTCCTGAATCTTCTCCTTTTTAGTCATCTGGCCACAATGTTTTTCAAAAGTTTTCATGAACACAGACAACTATATAACTAGGCCTCAGGAGTCAGGCCAGAGAAATAATAACAATAATGAAAAAAAAGTTTGAGATTTCGTTTAAAATCCAAAAAATCGTAAGCTTCAAAAATTTTGCATTTTGGGCTGAGATTTGTTATTACTGTCAACTTAACAGCTATAAGTTTGAGACTTGACAATCCCTTTCGATTATTATGAATACAATATAACAAAAAATAAAAGCAAGACTTCTTTTAAGGTCTTCATTGTTTGAAAGTAAGACTTTACGTATTATTATAGGGCCTCCTTACGTTTAAACAACAGAACTGTTGATGTAAGAGAAATTGGAAAATCTTCAAATAAGTTTTCGTTTGTGTGTAATTTTGTTACTTAACAGTATCAAGTTCCGTTCGGAGTTTGTGGTGCTTTTGATAAAAAAGCACTTTTTAAGATGTTTGATAAATATCATTTCATAAACTTTTGATGTTAAAAATACTTTTGGCAAAAAACTAAAATTTGATATTTTTATAATTGCTTTTGTGTTTTAAAAAATAAAATATTAAATTTAATCATTTTGTTCTACGTTATGAACTAAATAAAGAGATAAATATATTTAAAGAAATTTAAAATTACACATTATCCAATGCAATAAATACTTTTTAAACCATGTATCCAAATAATATATTTAAAAGAATTTAAACACTTAATAAGTGATTTTATTAGAAGGTCTACTAGGAATAATATCTTTTAATAAGCTACAACAACTGCAAACACGCCCTTAATGGCTTCACACCGTGAATTTTTTCTTCTAGATCATCCAAGTTTAACAATACCTCAAAAAGACAGTTATTCAATCCTACGAAACTGAAAATACGAAATGTCACCTAAATTTCATTTTGAATTTTGTATACTCCATTGTAAATTTCCACCAACAATTTATTTCAAAAGTTGCCCTAGTTTCTTCGAAATTTTGATATGACGCGCTTAGTCAAGGAAACTGGCTTCAATTCTGACGATACTAGTTAAGGAAACTGGCTACATTCTATATGCAAAATAAAACTCTCTGAGAGATTCCATGCCTAATATTCAATCCCTACCAGCACCCGCTTCCAATGGGGTCAACTGCCCTGAAATAGAACAAGCTCAGCCATCTAGATTTGCTAGGCAGTAGGGACTATCACGAATAAGGCAGCAGGAAAAGGGAAGAAATCAATTCTTACTGAGATACAAAGAAACAAAAGCTTGTACTACACGATCGCAAACTGTCATTTGCAAGACTTGAGAGAAGTATACTAAACTGCTCAAAAATGCTCAAAGTTCATCGAGCTATCAAGAGGCAAGATCACTGGATACTAGCTTGCACTTGACCATGATACTACATGCGGCCAAAGCAGCAGAGAAAGTTTAGTTCGAATAATTAGACTAAAAAATCAGCTCAGTTAAACTCTTTTTACAGCATACAAACCAAAAACAACTCCAAACTGTAAGATAGACACATCAAAGATGGTGCTTAAGTGCCGAAAGTTTTTGCCGTTTCTCATTCAGGAATTAGTGCTTCATTCTCTGCTTCACCTTCTTCTTCAACTTTGGGCTTTGATGATGCCCCCGCTCCAGGTGCCTGCTTCTTTTTTATTCCACTTACAATGTCGTCAATTCTTAGAAGCATGCAGGCAGCTTCGATGGCTGTTTTAAATGCTTGCACCTTCACAGTGTAGGAATCCCATATCTGAAATTTTAAAAGAAGTAAGCTGCTCCTGTGATCCTCAGACCATAATACCTGACTTTTAAGAAGCTCAAATTTGCAAAACTGAAAACTAAACTTAATAAAAGATCAGGAAATTTATGTAGTTAGAGTACCATAGCTAGTCCTAAGAAGAAGTAAATAGTCACTGAAACAAAACTAGATTTTGGATAAATTATTTCTAGTTACGTTAGAAGACAAGACTTAATCCAGATGTAAGGGGAAGAAGATCATACCTTCCTCTCCTTCATATCAGCAATTGCACCAGTATTACCATCTATGCCAACCCAAGCATTTTCACCATTTGCATGCTACAATAACATATAACTGATATCAAAGTCCAGTACATATTGACTACAAGGAAATAAAGACGCAAACATCATTCAAGAAAATAATTTCAGACTCGAGGCTCTTACCGTCCCACGCAAGGAAGTCATTGTTCGAATAACATTGACACCACAATTCTGAGCCAAAGTTCGTGGTATTGCCTCAAAGGCAATTGCAGCAGCTTCATAAGGCCACTGCAGCACAAGACAGAATTGAAATATTAAAACAATTCTCAGTAGAATAAACTGATTCTTGAAATTAGCAGTTGAATCTGAGAAAAATACTAGCCCACAAAATAATAGGAATGCATAAAGAAGAGCAATCCACCTTTTCAATGCCTTCAACAGATGAGCTCTTCTGCTTTAAAATCGCTGATACAGTCAACTCAGTTGCACCACCACCAGGAACAAGTTTTGGATTCTTGACAATGTTTCTTGCAACAGACATCGCATCCTGTAGGACAATTTAAATAGAGTCGAAAACATTGTTCCATAGCCGTTATACAATAACTAAATCAATCTAAACCAACCTGTAAATTTCTTTCTACTTCATTCAATAGGTCTTTGCTGGCACCCCTTAAGAGAACAGTACATGCTTTTGGATCCGTGCAATCAACAATGAATGCAAAGAACTCATCCCCAATTTTCCTCACCTCAAATAGCCCAGCTCCAGTCCCAACATCAGATTCCTGTAACTCATCGGGTCGGTTCACAATAACTGCCCCACATGCCTTGGCAATCCTGTTATTGTCCGTCTTTCTCAGCCTCCTAATTGCAGAAACGCCAGCCTTGCTCAGATAATGGCATGCTAGATCACTCAGCCCCTTTTCTGTTATCACTAAATCAGGCTTAAACTTCAGTATCTGCACGCAAAGGTTCTCAATGTACTCCTCTTCCATTTTTAATAACACGCTCCAATCTTCTTCCCTCAGCAATTCTGCATTTGTTTGATTCTCGCCTTTCTTGTACTCCAGGGGACAATCTAGAAGGATGATACGAGGATTTACAATCTTTCTTCTCATTTTGCCAGGGGCAACCACATCCTTGTTAAACATAACTCCCTTAAGGACCTGTGAATCTTCCAGTTGCCCACCCGGAACCTTCTCAACCTTGACATATTTCTTAATATCCACTTCACGGATGCCTTGTCCAACTTCCACTCCCACGGTTGTTGTAGCATCAATTGCTAAATCCTAGAAGACAATCAGAGATATCAAATGATTCCAAGATAAATATTCAATGCATGGCAATAAAAGCTTATACAGAAGTCTAACAGTCATTCAGAAAATTGATTAATCAACATTGAGCCTTCAGGAATTCCAATTTAAGAATAGATATTAACAGTTATATTATGCACATAAAATATACTTCTTCAAAAGCATGGTCAAATAAGTTATGACAGTCCAAGGATAAGGTCTTAGTAGCTGATTGGAGGTAAAGAGTATCCCAGTTTTACCCGATATTAACCAACATAGGAGGTAAAGAAGCACAATCAGTTACATGAGGAATCAATTAAAAGCCTAAACTTGATAGGATTATCATGCTACAGGGAGTAAAACCCATTCCATAGAAGGAGATTCATTTTTCTGAACACAGGTGTTACTGAAGTACAGAAATAACTGCTAGTAATCATAAAACAAACATTTACAAATACAAACTTATCAGTAAGAAAATGTAACATTTGTCATTCAAAGGATAAATTTCTCCATTCCCAATTTAAGAAACAATTAGAGAGAGAGACAGACAGACAGACAGAGAGCAGGATATATGTTGCTTACGGCAATAAGATTCCCAAATTGACTAGTAAATTTTGTGCCAATACAGCTCTTTACAAGGCCTAACATTGTTGCACCTGCCAAAACAATACAATGTATTTATTTGTGAGAAGCCAAAAAAATTCTGAACAGTTAATATACGCAAATGGGAAGAAAATTAAAACCAATTACAAAAGGCACATTTTTGAGCATTTTTTTCTATCTTCAAGTACAAAATTAAACTAACATTTGTTATTTCCAACGTGTACCAGGGATAGGAGGGAATTTTAAAAATAAATAAACCAACAACAACAAAGGAGGGAGAAGAGATGGAACAACAACAATATTCATTCAACAAAATAAGGAGAGAACAGGAGGCAAGGTCTAGGAAAAACACTACCATGCACAACATATGCTAACTGATCTATCAGCGAAACATAATTAACAAAACAGCCAGATGAAAAATATTAGTATCCACACTATGGTTCAGAGACTAACATGCTAAATGAATAGAATAGCAGCAAGCACCATTTTTATAAGGCAACTAGCCGTATAAGACTACAAGGCTAAATGACCATCATCACACTGCAAACTATACTGCCTAAAAGTGAAAAAGTAAACTGCTATAAAATTTTTGGATACTTCTGAAGAAAGTAAAAAAGAAACTTACGATCCTTAACGTCAACAGTCATAGCTATCTTTTCCAGCGCGGCTATGGCATCTTCTAGAGCTTTGTTGTAAGCTACAGTAACAAGTACCAAGCATTCATCAGAAACAGAGTTTTGTCACAATAATGAAATGACAAGCACAAAATGTAAAAAAATGCTACCTCGGCAAATTACTGTTGGATGATAGTTGTTGTCAATGAAGGCTTCAGCAACATGAAGCATCTCACCAGCTTAAAAAAATTTTCAAGATGGTAAATAAGAGGAATTAGTCAAGTCATCTAACATATTAACTAAACCATACAAGTTGCCTTCCTGACAAGTTCTAGCAATATAAATAAGATAGAATAACACCATCACATAAGATATCAGTCATACACACATATGGTGATAGAGAAAAAAGATTGCACCCGA